TGCTAGTTGGTGTTCATGGATGTGCTCTGCTAGCCTTCTGCTTGTCTGTCCTACATAGTGGCTGTTTCAGTACTTTAACCTTTTTTTGGAGAAGGATCCTGTTCCTCCCCCCCCCCCCCCCCCAACTTGGGCTGCTGGGTCTTTTTATAGTTTCTGTTGATTGTGCTGGAGTGGCTGGAGTGGTCAGCCACTTTTTGATAAAGTTGCATAAATTACCATTTTGTTGGAAGACCTATAGGTGGTTTGTTTCCTTTTTTCTGGTATTCTGGGTTGCTGCAGTGTGGTTGTGCTCATCTCAATAATGTTCTTACAAAGCTCCTTTGGAGGGAGGTTGGGTTGTTACTTTGGGAACGGAGCACTTCGTAGTTGTTTTTCGATAGACTTGAGTTTCTCATTTGCCATCATTTCCTCTGCTGATGAGGATATCCAGGAAGGGTAGTGTGTTGTTATTTTCTTCTTCCCTTGTGAATTTTATTCCTTTGAAGATGTTGTTGATTGTTTCATGTGACTTTCTAGTTGTTCCTTTTTTACTATGACGAAGGTGACTGGATCCATACTTTTGGTTGTATGCATGGGAATGCTATAGTTATATAGATACATAATTATATCTATGTAGCTGTATAGAGCTTCAAGAGCTTCAAAGAGACCCTCTCTTAATTAATTCACTAACAAAGGAAGGTTTTATAAGTAAAGAAATGTGGCATTTTTTGATTATATGATCACATAAGTGTTGTCATGCTGGCATTGTTGACGTTACTGCTGTGAGTATAGAGGATGGCCTCAAAGGACAGAGGGAAGATCCATTACCAAGGCAACAATTAGATAAACGAGGCTTGAGCCCAGGCCAAGAAAGTGGTTTATGAAAACGCCTAGAACAGGCTTCCCACTTATTGCTCACAAAGATAAAAGAGGGAGGAAGGGAAGCACATTCAAACTTGCAAGATTCTGTTACTATAATTGATTTGATATTGTGAATGAAATCTGTTTCTTCAGCATCCTACAATAGAAATATGGAAGAGACACAAATTTCATTATGCATCACAGATTGAAGATTAATGCTTTCCAGCATTAATCAAAACCTTTCATCATCTGGAACTTTTGTCCTTCCCTTCCTCCCTCTATGGAAATGCCTCCCACATTTTAGCATCCCCCCCCTTTTTTTTTAAGATGATAATGCTGTTGCAAAATTAATCTCCAGCTTTGGTAATAGAAAACTATTAATGTTTTTGGGATCTGATGTCAGATGTGCAGTCCATCTGGAAACCAAGTGGCCCTGTTGCCTGGTTAAAATAGAGATGCAGGTTGTCCTCGTTTAGTGATGGATTCATTTAGCAAGTTTGCTGTTATGACAGTGATGAAAAACTAAATTTACAACCAATCCTTGCATTTACAACCTTTGCAGATTTGTAAAGCAAAGGAAAGCTGAAATAAGATCATAAACACAATCACGGTTTTACTTAACAACTGCTTTACTTAACAACTGAGTTGCCAGTCCCAGTTGTGGTTGCTAAACAAGGACTACCTGTATGATTTAACATAAATATTAGTGAAGGTAGGCTTATTGTATCCGAGCTACAGACATATGGGCCACCACTAGACGGCAGCAAAGAGACTGGGTTTGCTTCCATCTACTGGCTCAATGACTCAAACGGTTGACTTTGTATGTAAAAGATGTTAATAAGCCTTCTTTCATGTAAAAACCATATGAGCATACTGCTGCTCCAATTTATGTAGAGGTGTTGGGTAACTGCTCAGCATTTTAAAAATACAGTCCCCAGATTAATCAAAAGGACATGTTTCATCAGTCAAGAAAACTTATAATTAGTCAACTAAAGTGGCAGTCCTAAAATTAACACAACAATTAATAGACTTGCCAAGAGCAACTGTCTTGCAAGATGTGTTCTGTGTTACTCCAGACTTAAAATGATTTCACTAATTAATTAACCTACAACAAATTCTGCTTTGATCTTGCAGCCCACATTTTGGAGCAGGTGCAGTTGAATTAGTGTGCAAAGGAGCATCTCACAAAGGGCAGTGTTTTCGCAAAGCAATCTAAGGTCAAGAGCAACTTATTTTAATTATCGGCCACATTGTTGGAAAGCCAGCCATAATGCAGAACTGTGATTTAAGGTAACTGGAGCTTTTCCTGGCCAGCTGTGCACTAGGTTCATTTACTTGGCAGAACCTACTTCTGCTTTGATTTAAAGCATTGAAGATGGTTCTACAAAGGGAAAAAAAAAATCCCCATAAATTGTAAATATTCTTGTGGTGCCCTAAAAGCTATCCAGTTTATAAGACCTTACCTGGCTGGAGTCCATTTGATGAGATGCAGTAGAAACTGATATATTATCGGAACCATTTGAAGGACACAAATCCATGAAAGTTTATGACTTCATCTACTACTTAACTCTAGAAGTTGCCCCAAGACCTTTTGCTATTATTTCTTGAATAAGGCCAAATAATTGTTTCTGTGGAAGGAAAGAATGATAGTTTTGGAAAAATAATTTGGTAAAACAACAGCTGTAATAATAAATTTAATAATAATTTAAATATAAAATAATAGTACCCTAAACACATAAAAACACTCTACAGATTGTTTAAACCCTCCCTTAATATGTTTGGATGTGGAGCTGAGTAAGAATGTATTTCTTTCAAAAAATTTTGGTGAGATTGAGCTTCCTTCCTCCCTTCCTCCCTTCCTCCCTCCCTTCCTCCCTCCCTTCCTCCCTCCCCC